GCTACTTAATGCCTTGCGGTGGTGGTGCACTTCTTTAATCCCAGCACTCGGGAGGCAGAGGCAGGCGGATCTCTGTGAGTTCGAGACTAGCCTGGTCTACAAGAGCTAGTTCCAGAACAGGCTCCAAAGCTACAGAGAAACCCTGTCTGGAGAAAAAAAAAAAAGAAACCCTGTCTGGAAAGACAAAACAAAAATATTACTGCTTCATAGCTGTAATTCTGTTACTGTTATAAATTGCAATGTAAATATCTGTGTTCTGATGGCCTTAGGCAACTCTGTGAAAGGATGGTTTGATCCTCAAAGGGGTCATGGCCCACAGGTTGAGAACCACTGTTCAGTGGTTAAGAGCACTGGTTAAGAGGTTAAGAGGATTTCTAGAGGTCCTGAGTTCAATTCACAGCAACCACATGGTGGCTCACTACCATTTATAGTGGGATCTGGCGCCATCTCCTGGTCTGCAGACATAAACACAGGCAAAAACATTGTATATATAAATCTTTAAAAAAATAAACTGGGCGGTGGTGGCACAAGCTTTTAATCCCAGTACTCGGGAGGCAGAGGCAGGTGGATCTCTGTGAGTTCGAGGCCAGCCTGGTCTACAAGAGCTAGTTCCAGGACAGGCTTCAAAGCTACAGAGAAACCCTGTCTTGAAAAAACAATAATAATAATTTTTCTGGGCAGTGGTGGTGTACTCCTTCAATTCCAGCACTCAAGAGGCAGAAACAGGCAGATCTCTGTGAGTTCAAGGCCAGCCTGGTCTACAGAACAAGTTCCAGGTCAAGGCTCCAAAAGCTACAGAGAACCCCTGTCTTGGGGAGGGAGAGAAAATAAAAACAAACAAACCATGATTCCAATTGGGCATGGCGGTTCCACTTGTAATCTTTATCTTTTTAAAGATTTATTTTTCTATTGTACACTGGTATTTTGATTGTGTATATTCTGTGTGAAGGTGTCAGATTCCCCAGAACTAGAATTACAGACAGGTGTGAACTGTCATGTGGGTGCTGGGAATTGAACTCAGGTCCTCTGGAAGAGCAATTAGTGCTCTTAGCCACTGAGCCATCCCTCCAGCCCCCTCCACTTGTAATCTCAAAGCTGGGGAGGCTAAAGCAGAGGATCCTACAAGGTTGAGGTCAGCCTGAGATACAAAGTAAAACCCTGTCCTACATCCGTATCCTCCCCTCACACAAATAATAAACTCCACAAGAGTGTTCCCGCGTTTCTGCTGTCCTGTGAATCCTTTCTGATGGGTTTCAAAGTATTTTTGGTATGTTCCCACTCCTCATTCTCTTCAGGATATAGTGATTCTCTCATTCATTTACAAGGTATTTTTTTTTAAAAAGATATATTTATTATGTATACAACATTCTGCCTTCATGTATGCCCGCACGCCAGAAGAGGGCGCCAGATCTCATTACAGATGGTTGTGGTTGCTGGGAATCAAACCCAGGACTTCTGGAAGAGCAGTGCTCTTAACCACTGAGCCATCTCTCCAGCCCCTTTTGTTTTAAATTTTAAAGATAAAAAAAAAATTCGTTTAACATTGGACAGAGTGGTTCACACATTAATCCCAGCACAGCACTGGAGGTCTCTGGAGTTTGAGCTGGGTTATACATTGAGATCCTGTCCAAAAAAAAAAAAAAAAAAAAAAAGCCTGCTGATAGTGGTGCATGCCTTTAATCTCAGCACTCGGGAGGAGGCATATTGATCTGAGTTCAAGACCAGCCTAGTCTACCAAATGAGTTCAGGAAAGCTACACCCAAATTCTAGAACCCAAATCACCACCAGGAAACACCAACTCTAATGCAATAAAAAACAGAGTCTTTATTCACGAGTAACGTGAATAAGCAGCAACGCTGGTTGCCCCGCTGTGGCGGAAGCAGCGACTACCACGCCCTGCAACAGGAACAGACTAGCAACAATGCTATTGCAGGAAAAACCCACCCTCCAAAAGTGGTGGGCAGACGGGGGTTTATATAGGGGAAGAGACTTGGACCATTCCAAGCCTCTGGGCTTGTGATTGGCGCTGCCCCCTAGTGGGGTGAGGGGAATTCCAGACTTCCAGGCTTGGGATTGGCTTTCCCCTATACTGTGCCAAGCCTCTAGGGGCTCAGTTATTGGTCAGTTTTCTCTGCCCAGGGATTGGCTGGTTTTGTGTCAAGGGCAGCAGTGTGTCTGATTCTGGGACCAAAATGTGTTTCTTTCTTTGGTTCTTTTTACTTTTTGACCCTAATTTTGGGACCAGGGCAAATATCTTTGATATGCTCTGAATCTAGGAACTTAGTACATTCTTTTGGTCCTGGTTTCAGGGTCTGGGGATTTTTCTCCGGCTCTACGTTCGGGGGCAAAGCGTCTCTTCCCTTGACTCTGGTACCATTTTCACAGTGTGTTTCTTTCGCTGGGTCCTGGGTCCGGGCTTGGAGCCTAGCCGTTCAGGGTCTCTATAGGGGCTACGAATCAGGGGTTTTCTGGGGCCTGGGTCACTCAAAAATGTCTTTATTAAAAGTTATATTAAAATATTTTGTTTTCTGTATACATGTGAGGGCATGATTGTTTGTTTACACGGCACATAAGCGCGGGGGGTCTCCTGGCCAGAAGTCAACGGCTTTCCTGTAGCTGGAGCTACAGTTGTGTAGGTGCTGGGACCAAACCTGGGTCCTCTGTAAGAGCAGCAACTGCTCTTAACCACTCAGTCATCTTTCCATCTCCTTTTATTTATTTATTTATTTGTTTGTTTGTTTGTTTTGCTTTCCCCCTTTTTAAATCAGAGTCTCTCTGAAGCCCTGACTGGCCTGAAATTTTGTAACCCAGGCTGACCTGCCTCCACCTCCCAAGTGTTTGCACCAAATGTTTATGCTCCCACATCTAACCTGTTTCTGATTTCTAAAAGGCTTTATTTCCTTTCATTTTCTGTGTAAGGAAGTTTTGCTTGCATGTGTCCCTGCGTAGGTGCAGGTACCTGCAGAGGCCAGAAAAGGTGTCAGACCCCTGGAACTGGAGTCACAGACAGGCGTGGGCTGCATGTGGGTGCTGGGAACTGAACCAGGTTCTCTGGAAGAGCAGCCAGTGCTCTCGACCACGGAGCCATCTCAGTGGGTAAGTTCCGAGGTCAGAAACTTGCTTGGAAAAGGGACAGTCAACTATGAAAACAGCAAAGAGGGTCTGGGTGTAGTCACAAGAGCAGTCGAGGCTCCTGGAATCCTCTGTGCAAAGACTGCGTGGCAAGAAAGGAAAGGGGCTCCTGAAGAGGTGAAAGCTGAGGTGAGGCTCTGTGATTTAGACCCGGCCCTAAGATCACCTGACAGCCTGGGGTTTCACCCTACAAGCAATGTAAAGATGAATAATTCTCATCAGGAGTACATATTAGAGGGGACAGGAATGAATGAGAGTAGGTTAGGGAGATGTCTCAGTGGGTAAAACTGTGTGTGTGTGGTGTGTATGTATGTGTGGGTAGAGTATGTGTGTTGTGTGTGAGTATGTGGTGTGTAGTGTGTGTGAGTGTGTGGTGTGAGTGTGTGGTGCCAGGCAGTGGTGGCGCACGCCTTTAATCCCAGCACTCGGGAGGCAGAGGCAGGCGGATCTCTGGGATCTCTGTGAGTTCGAGGCCAGCCTGGTCTACAAGAGCTAGTTCCAGGACAGGCTTCAAAGCTACAGAGAAACCCTGTCTCGAAACAACAAAACAAAACAAAAAAGTGTGTGTTGTGTGTGTGTGTGTGGTGTGTGTATGTGAGTGTGGTATGAGTGTGGTGTGTGTGTAGTGTGTATATGTAATATGTGTGGTGTGAGTGTGTTGTGTGTGTATGGTATGTGTGTGGTGTGTGTGCATGGTATGTGTGTGGTGTGCGGTGTGTGTGCATGTGCTGTGTGTATGGTGTGTGTGGTATGCGTGGTATATATGTGGTGTGTGGGTGTGTTGTGGGTGGTATGTGTGTGCGGTGTGTGTGTATGGTGTATGCGTGATGTGTATGGTGTGTGTGTGGTGTGGGTATGGGTGTGGTGTGTGGGTGTGGTGTGGGTGTGTTGAAAGCTTAAAACCTGAATCTGATTCCTGAACACATGTGGAAGAAGTGAATAGTAAGTGGTTGTCAACACATTTAACATGGTATACACACCCACACACATTTAAAATGGTATATACACAACACACACACAAAATAAAACCTTTATAGAACAAAAATAAATTTAAGAAATGAATGAGGAGCCGAGAGATGGTGGCGCACGCCTTTAATCCCAGCACTCAGGAGGCAGAGGCAGGCGGATCTCTGTGAGTTTGAGGCTAGCCTGGTGTACAAGAGCTAGTTCCAGGACAGGCTCCAAAGCCACAAAGAAACCCTGTCTCGAAAAACAAACAAACAAAAAAAAAAAAAAAAGAAAAGAAAAGAATGAGGGTGGCACTGCACTGCACTATCCTGTCCCCTCCTGCCAGGGTCCTTCCACATCTGTTCTCAGTCCTAGTGCCCTGTAGCATGTTCCTTCCCCTGTAGCATGTTCCTTCCCCTGTAGCATGTTCTTTACCCTGTAGCATGTTCCTTCCCCTGTAGCATGTTCTTCACCCATGCTTCAAATGCAGTGCCTGTCCTGTCCTGGTGTTTTCTCCAGTACTTCACCCAGCTCTATCAGCCTCTTCGCCATGAGCCCATGTGGTGGTCCAGCATCTCCCTTCTGGGCCAGCCCAGAGTCCTGCTTGGGTGACCTGCAGGGTGCAAAACTCACAGCTAGGTCTGGGATTTGGTGCTCTCTCCTCAACTGTCTGTCATTACCTTCTTCCTTGCTTGCCTCCCTCCTGGGAAAGTCATCCTGGGACTTGGGGCTAGAGAAACTGACAGACATCTGTCAGTGACATTGGTACCATAAGATGTGCATAAGGGGAACCCACCAAAGGGAAACTCACACAGATGTGGTGGGCCAGCCTTTATTGTGAGAACTAAGCCCACGGAAGAGGAAAATCAGTTCTCACAGGATGGCAATGAGGGCATGGCAGGGAGTGTTGGAAGGCCGAGCGGGGAGAGAGAGGGGCGCTTAGGAAAGGACTTAGTGGAGGGAGGCAGGGAGAGGGAAGAGAAGGCACTGGAGAAAACCAGTTGAATCCTGGGAAAAGGCAGACTGGACTTGGAGGAGCCTGTGCTGCAGGAGAGCCCTCCTCATTTTCGGGCACCCAGGCCCAGGGCAATGACGAGGCCCACGACCAACAGGAACATAGCGACAGACAGGAGCACTGTGATGACTACCATGCCGCCCGTCCGGGCCATTCTCAACTCGATAGATTCCATGTTCCTTCCTGTCAGAAGAGAAAACCTTAGTGGGTTGGAAGGGTCCCTAGCAGCGCTCACAGCTTAGCTTGGCCAGCCAACCAGCCAGCAGGGCAACAACAGCTGTGGCCTCTACCAGCAACCCCTAGGGGTCACCAAGGAGATTTTCCTAGAGCACCGTTCCTCCTCACAAGGAGTCTTTAGTTCCGCAGATGGGTGAATGTGAATAGGAGGTGGCCAGAGTAAGAGTCCTCTGAAAACGCCTGCTCTAGGAGATAAAGCCCAGCGCTCAGGTGTGTAGACGCTTGAGATGTGAGAGGGGTAGGCATTTGACTTACGAGGAAGCGTAGACATCGGGGTTTCTGGGCTGGACTCGGTGGTCGTCCCCTTCTGCACCCGGTAGGAAATGCTTTAGAGGTGGGAGTTGGGAGAAAGCAGAGATCCCGGTAGGAATCTGGCATTTGCGAGGAGCGGTTCCAGCCCCCATCTCCGTGGCTATGCACCCCCAACTGCGCCCTCCTGGGGTGGAGGCTCACATTCCGTACCCTTTAGCTGTGCCCTCTTCCTCATGCTTACCAGCATCCCCCAGCTTCTCTTTCTGTGTCCCACATGTGTGCATCTGGTACCTACTAGTATTTAGTTCCTGGGGTTAGGTTTGTCACTTGATATGCGCTGAGCCGCGTGACGGTGAAGCCAGCCCCACTGTCCACCACGTTCACCAGCTCCCTGCGCCCACGGCATGGAGGCACCACGAACACTGATTCCACCACTAAGGGAAAATAGGAGCGAAAGGCAGCGTCGACTGTCTAGCAGTGCCATGGAGAACGGGTTAACGGGGAAGACGAAACAGGTAACCGGGAAGCCGACCTTTGCTGTCGTTGGCTCTCCGGACCGTCAGTGTGGCATTACCTCCCGTGAGGTGACATGGGGGCAAGGCAACTAACAGGCTTTCTGTTAGCGCCGGAGACAGCAGCCCCGAGAGGCTTGAGATGTTGAAGTCTGTTGGAAAGTCAGGAGGGAATGCAGATGGAGTTAGACTGACTCTCAACTCAGATCATTACAAAGGGCGCAGTCAAGACAGGCCCGTGTGACTCTGACCACCAGATGGCAGGCTTGAGCTGCAAATGGTGGATACGCTGAGCCGCCAGGGAGACGGACTAGACTCTAGCAACCAGTCAGTTCCCAGCCTCACCCACCCAGGCAACTGCGGATTCTTCTCTACTCCTGGGTCAGGAAGAAGCCTAGGAATTTGTCTGCGGCTCACTACCATCGCTAGTCCTCAACCCCAGCCAGCTACGAGTTTGAGAGTCCTGGAAGAGACAGTGCTCTAAAACCCTCCTCACTCCCCCCAGCAACAGAGACCTGCAGCCCCCGGAGCCAAGACAGTCAGGAGACCCAGAAACAAGGGCAAGGTCTGGACAGGCAGCGTGGAGGTCATACTGCGCCGAGAGCTGGATCCTTGACCGAGCTGGGGCTTCCTGAGGCCAATGAGGCCCTGCCCCAGGATGGCTGATTTTGTCTTGGGGTAGGAGGGGCTGCTGGGTGGGAATCCAGTCCAACTCGCCTGTCAGACACTGTAGCCTCAGGAAGGGCCCCCAGACAGGTTTTTCAGGATTGGGAGTTGGCCCTCAGGCCCCAAAGGCGATGCCCTGACTGGGTCCAGGCAGCTTAGCTAGCTGCAGGGGAGGATGACTCCTTCTCTGAGAACTTCCCTGTCTGAAGCAGAGTTTCTCTATGTGTGTCTACAGGGGCTGCTTCTCCCCAAGGAGGTTTCTAGGAGGGCCATGATTCTGAAGTTGCCCTGGTTTGTAGGGAAAACCCCAAGGATCGAAATGACTCTGGTTAGTAAGAAAGGAAGAGAGGGAGATTGGTTGTGCGGGGTGGGGATAGCAGAGCCAGAGTTCCGATTCCTAGTGTTGACTCCGGCCCAAGTCAAGTTGAGGGTGTCAGTGGGAATCTTCCGATTTCTCCAGAGGGTGGGGACAAAGGAGGTGAGAGAGCTTCCAAGAAGGTTGATGTTGAAGTCCAGCACAGATGTCGGGCTCTGGTGTAGACACAGATAGACTTGGGCAGCAAACATTGGTTCCGCTGGTGGAGAATAAAGAAGAAAAAAATCTCAGGAAACAAGAGACAGGCAGATCCTGAGTTCCAGGCCAGCCTGGGCTACACAGTGAGACCGTCTCAAGTCAAGCAGGGTATAGTGGTGCACACCTTAATTCCAGCTCACGGAAAACAAAGGCAGGAGGATCTCTGTAAGTTTGAGGCCAGCCTGGTCTACATAGTGAGTTCTAGGACAGACAGGGCTATGTTGAGAGACCTGTCTCAAAAAACAAATCAATAAGGCTGAGTGGCGGCGGCATACACCATTAATCCCAGCACTCTGGAGGCAGAGGCAGGTGGATCTCTGAGTTTGAGGCCAGCCTGGTCTATGGAGTGAGTTCCAGGACAGCCAGGACTACGCAAAGAAATCTTGTCTCGAGAAAAAAAAAATCAGGGAGATGGCTCAGTGGTTAAGAGAACTCAGTATCCTCCTAGGGGACTGAGTTCAATTCCCAGCACCCACATGACTGTTCACAACTGTCTGTAGCTTCAAGATCTGACACCCTCACACCAACGTACATGCACGCCCAATGCACATAAACTAAAATAAATAATTTTTTAAAAAAGACCCCCCCAATCAACTAAAACAACAACAAACACCCTCAAGTCAAAATGAGCCAGCGACAAGGAGAACGGTCTAGGGGTGCAGCTCAGTGGAAAGGTGCATGAGGCATGGGTTCCCATCCCGGTACACAAGACCAGCACCGTTTCCTGGTGTCTCCCACCCCAGGCTAAATGAGAGAAGTAAATTTGCCAGCCAGAGGGAGAGGAGAGCGAACCACTCAGAATGCTGGGCAGGGGCTCTGCATGCCCTCACTCCCAGCATGCCCCCAACAGCCATCTTAAGTGGCGCTGCCTTCTCAGTGTGGAACCTGAGACTCAGACAGGTTGTCCCTGGAAAACGGTCAGGTGGGCGTGGGCTTTTCCAGATTGGAGAACTCATCCCAGAGAAAGGGTCAGGGTCCTGGGAGAGCGGGACTAGTGAAGGGCTGCTATGATGTCCATTCCCCACGGAGGGTGGGTGTGAAGCCGAGGATATAAGGGGGATAGAAGTAAAAACAGAACCTGGGGGCTCAGGCAGAGAGCGGGAGGGGCTTTCCCAGAGTGTCTCCAAATTGACTGTGCAATGGGTTATGGGGGTTTGGTTCAAACACAACTTCTGATTCTGTGGGCCTGAGGCAAAGCTTCAAACTACATTTCTTTTCTTTTTTTTTTCTTTTCTTTTTTTTTGGGGGGGGATTTTCGAGACAGGGTTTCTCCGTAACTTTTTTGGTTCCTGTCCTGGAACTAGCTCTTGTAAACCAGGCTGGCCTCAAACTCACGGAGATCCGTCTGCCTCTGCCTCACGAGTGCTGGGATTACAGGTGTGTGCCACCACCGCCCAGCTCTTTTTTCTTTTTGGTTTTTTGAGACAGGGTTTCTCTGTGTAGCTTTGGTGCCTGTCCTGGAACTAGCTCTTGTAGACCAGGCTGGTCTCGAACTCACAGAGATCCACCTGCCTCTGCCTTCCAAGTGCTGGGATTAAAGGCAAGCGCTGAAACTACATCTCTTGAACAATTTTAAATTTACACTTATCGTCTTGTGTATGTGTATGCCCTCGTGTGCCACAGTGCACATGTGGGGGGCAGAGGACAGCTTGTGGGAGCTGGGCCTCTCTTTTCACAGTGTGGTTTCTCGGTATCGAAACACTGATCCTCAGGCTTGGTGGCAGGAGCCTTTACCTGTGGAGCCCTCTGTTTCCTAGAGCTGCATTTCCAAGGCGCTTACAGGTCACACACACACACCTCCAATGGAAAGCGGGACAGAGGTTTTTCCTCACGTTGCCAGCACAGGCTGCCTTTGGGTGGATTTCTGTGTGCCCTGCTCCACGGCTTTTGTCCCCTTTAGATGAGATCTTATCCCCACTCTACATACTGAAGGATCCGCACACAAAGGAGAACTTGAGGTGGGGAAGAGGGCTAAATGGTGGGACCTCAACACAGCAGGGCGCTTAGGCATGAGCCTCATTTGGGCTAAGGAGGAATCAGGAGAGGATAAGTTTACTGCAGAGCAGATTGTGTTGGTCCAGTCTTAGGTCCCATTTGAAATTAGGAGTGAGACAAAGTGAGACAGGAAAGGGCATATCTCTGGTCACATTTTAGAGGGATATGAGGGCCCTGTGCCTTTAAAGCCCTCCCATCTCCCTCCAATCTCCCCCCTCACCTTCCCCACCCGAACCCTCCCCAGGTTTCTGGAGGAGCAGAGTTGCGTCTTCTCCCTGCCCTGCCGAGCTGCTCACTGGCTGCTCTGGAGGCTGTGCTTTGCGGTCTCCATGGAAACCATTAGTTGCTAAGCAACTGGAGCATCATCTGTGCTGAGCTCTCGCATCTAATTATCCCATCACAGTGGCTGAGAAGGGTTTGGGGAGCTGAGAGGAGGGAGAGGCCCAGCACAGGAGCCAGAGGATAACTCTTTCAGCAGAGCAGATTCACTGACAGTGCCGGAATCAGTTAAAGCCACAGCGCCCCGCTCCTCTGGAGGATTTCCTAAGGGCCAAGCAGGGGAACCAGGATCACAGGTCCCTCCTCTGGAGAATTTCCTAAGGGCCAAGCAGGGGAACCAGGATCACAGGTCAGGAGTCTCTCTCCTGAACTCTGTCTTCTCTGCTGTCCTCCCCTTGATTCTTGAATCTAAACTCCTTAAAGTTCCCACCCCTTCCTTCTCCCAAATACCCTCCTCAAGCCAACAGGCACTTGTTGCTGCCAGGTTTGCCCCTGGGATAAACTAAGCAGTCAGGATAGAAATGCAGGCTAAGTTCCCCTTCCCTCTTCTCCATCCATGTTTCGAACAGACCTCTTCTTCTTCCTGGACTAGACTCCCCTTTCCCCTTCTTGAGCTACAGTAGCTCTGCAGCCTGAAGAATCAGGATTAGAACCCAGGTCTGCCTGACCTGTCCACAGTCCTACTTCAACTAGGCCACTCCTCTATCTCCCAGGGAATTAGAAAACATGTCCACCTGTCTCCAGGGGTGTGCTAGACACAGATGGTGACCATTGCTCTCCTGGAGATGAGAGATGCCTTATGGCTAGGTGAACCACTTTGAACCTCATTTTTTTTTTCAACTTGAAAATGGAAAGACTCCAGGTGGGTGCATACCTTTAATTCCAGCACTTGGGAGGCAGAGGCAGGCAAACGTCTGTGAGTTCAAGGCTGTCCTAGTCTACAAAGTGAGCTCCAGGACAGCCAGGGCTACACAGAGAAACCCGTCTCATGGGACAAAAAAGATTTAGGACAAAGATGCAGAAAGAACATTGAGAGCAGCTGTAATCTAGGCCAGCAGTGGACACCCTGAGGACTTGTGCCTGCAGGTCAGGAGTGGTGCTCACCAAATATTAGCTTGTTGGGAGGTCTGAGGGCATTCTTTGGAGATCGAAGGCTGAAATGCGTGGCCCTAAGGAAAACTCCATCATCCAGGTCAACACAAACCACACCTTCCAGCTTTGTGGCCTTGGCTAGGCTGTTGCTTCAAGTTGCAGTTTCCATTTCAAATGCATTTGTTTATTGTATGCACTGTGAGTGTTTTGCCTGCACGTGTGCTGTGCACCACTTCTGTGCCTGGTATCCTCTGGAATCAGAAGAGAGCATTGGATCCCTGGGGACTGGGGTTATAGATGGTTGTGAACTGCCATGTGGGTGCTAGAAACTGAACCCACGGCCTCTGTAAGAAAAATTGCTGAGCTCTCTCTCCAACCGCTGTAGTTTCCTCTTGATGGGAACAGCAAAACCTGTCTCCTGGGAATATGGTGACTAACATGCCAACTTATTTATTTAAGAGGGCTAAGACAGTATCTGGTTCAATAAATACTGATTT